TTTCATTATACCAATACTAACTACTTGCAATATATGAAAAAGTTATATGATTATTGGGTGTTAATAAAGGTAAAAAGTTAAGAATTCTAATATGATATTTCATAGCTACAGCACCTTGATGCTTATATAGTGTATCTATTAATCCAATAAAACAATTGTATGTTCTGATAATATTATTCACATGATAGATAACTCCTGATCCTATTTTTGTACTTGGTACTAGGTATTCATCCATATTTGGTAGCTAACAAATTGAATCTTTATCAACAGTTTTCCAACCAGGATACAAGAACCTCTTTGCAATTTCCATATGACCAGAATGTCGATGAGCAAATCTATATAGATGACATTTATAAAATCAATCCATATTCTTAGTAATAAAAAAAAAAACTTGAACACAATTGAATGCTTTGGTTTTTGCAAAAATAATATCCTTAAGCAAACCAAAGTCATGTTCAATATAGTTGTTTATATGGTTGCCATGTAATAGTAAATTTAATCGAAAACAATATGCTCAGTATTGTTGTCTATTCTATAGATGTTCAAAATATCTTGCAAGCAATGGATATTGTTGATAATAATTATATTTTAATTTATGATAATAATTATTCATTTCAATTTCCATATATAGATATATAATTTTTTTTATTATATTCATTATAATTACTCGATGTTCTTTGTAAATACCATGTTTTGCATTATAAAGCCAACACCAAAATACTTGCAAGAAGTGAAATAGCATAAAAGTCAATTAGACTATGGCCAACAATGTTTTAATCATTTTGCTCTGCAGAAGAATTATCAGTTAAAATGTTTTGAGGCCCAATATCACGTCCATGTATGCTCAGAAAGGATTAATTTTAATAAATTAATTGCTTTTTTTAATTGTGATTTTGAGTTTATCAGATATAATGAATAGTCCCAATGGCAAAACATTTACTACACAACTCGTATATAGCAATATTATTGCTATATTTAAAGGTTCAAATGATGCTAAGGCATCTACATAACAAATTTCTCCTGCTTCATAGACTTTCTCATATACCCAACACATTAATTCTGTAACAATATACAATATAAATGTTTTTCCTATTTGGGAGTCATATTCTTGAAGAATCACTCTACCAAAACTGGATGCATTATAATTTGAAACCTCTGCTAAAATATTGATACTCCATTTTGTTTGCTAAGCTGAGAATTACAATAATTTTTAAAAAGATGTATAATATAGGTAAAATCTGGATTAATCAAATGATTTGCAAGAGTTTCAACAAGATTTTTCTTTGATAAAGCTGAAAGATGTAATTCATCTTTATGGGTATATAAAGCAGACATAGATAAATGACTATTACGAAACATTTGTATAAATTTGGTGCATATTTTCTCATTTATATGCCTAAAACTAAGAGATTTATCTGATTTAATAACATGATTATGCTTGAAAGGAATATTAACTTCCAAGAGATGACTGGTAGTTAAACACCAACATTCTAACTGTAAACACAAAGTTGCTAAGCAACCTATATTTCTATTGTGTGAAAACTCTGGACACTTTCTTTTAACACTACTCTGTTGTTTTTTAACTATTTGGCTGTAAATGCAGTGTCGTGATCTTTGAAGAATTACATGGGTACCTTTGACTCCATGCACTTTTGTTTGTAGCATCGTTGTTTTTGATTGTTCTTCAAATGCATTGAACCAGATTTTTATAGCTTCTATAATTGAAATATTAACAAATATACCAACTTCAAATTGCTGAATTTCAAACTCTTTTTCTGTATAATATGGTAGTAATTTTGTTATACATTGAACCTTATAGGTATAGTCTGAAGGTAAAATTTCTTGAAGAAAATCTGGTAAAGAATTCCAAGAAAAGAGCTAAAAATGTATTATATATTTTATTATAATTAATTATTAAAATAATATTATAAAAAAAATTTAAATTGCTTCTTTAAAATTTAATTTACTTTACAAGAATTTTCATTAACTGTATGATTATCAAGATTTGCAATGTCTTGAATTACCTCAGAAGAATCAATATTCTATTCGATGCAGTCAATCTTTATGAGAGTAAAAAGGTAAAAAAATTAACACTAGTTAAATAAAATTTGATAATAAAACAAAGCAATCATATACAGTATTTAACTTACTTTAATATCTATCATGTCTTTATCTATTCCCATGTTTTTATTCATTTCTGTGTCTTTATCCATTTACATGTCTTTATCTATTCCCATGTTTTTATCGACTTCAGAATTTATTCACATTATATCATTTGTAAATGTATTGACTATACAATTCTAAAATGTATATCCTGGATGACTTATATCGGTAATCATATTTTGTATATGACTTGCAAATGAATTTTCAGTATAATTTGTATAAGACTTTTTCATATTATTTGTAAAAGTATTCCCTGTCACAAATGCACTCTTAGCCCTATCTGTATAATTCGCAAAAGAATTTTTTATATTATTTAGATAAGTATTCTTCAATAATTTAAAAAAGTATCTCTTGCTATAAACATTTTCTCAGACTTATCTATATAATTTACAAAAGAATTTTCTATATTATATGTAAAAGTATTCTCCATATAATCTGTAAATGTATTCCCTGTTACAAACATATTCTCAGCCTTATCCATATAATTGGTGAATACAAAAGTCATACTTTTGTGAATGCGATTGATCCTGTTATTTTAAAGTAATATCAATATAAATTGCACATATTACTATCTTGACTCTTAACAAAAATTTCTCATTAACTAATTACTTATATAAAATTAGAGATTTTTTTTTTTTGATTTGATCGTCTATGTCTTCCAATTAATTCCCTATTTTTTTTTTTTTTTTTTGTATTTTTTAAATTTTTTTTTTAATTTACGAATTTTTTTTTATAATAAAATAAATGTTGTTATACACGTGATCATCAAAAATTCTCCATATAAACAATGATTATCTTTTTTTTTTTTGCAACTTTATTTACATTACTACAATTATATACGTTAAACGTCAAAAAACTTTTTATTTGACAAATATTTTTGATACCTTTCTAAAATTTTTTATTTACTTTATTTTATACAACTTTTCAA